TCTTGAATTTCTCCTGAATCTGAGAGGCCTCTGAACCACAACTCAGGCACGGTGGCGGGATGGGCCGACTACTGGGAGGAGGAGCAAAGACGACGACGATAGGAATGCGGGGGATAAAGTCGGGCCATGACGCCCCCAAGACGTCCAAGATTGCCTAAAAAAAAAACAAGGGGTCGGCGGTGTGGCCTAAGCCTAAAGAGTCTATAAACTATGTATAATATACCGCAGGCCACCTATGCCTCCTTGGCGGAACCAGGGCGAGGTGATAACCGCAGCAGGGAAGGGCGTGGATACCTTCAAAAACTGCTGCGCGAAAGCCCAGCCCACGCGCTAGGGGTCAAGGTGCGCGGGGTACCCATGCCGGCCAGACTTCCGGCCCCTGCGGCGGGTGGACTTCCCGAGCCTGGGCGCTGCGAAGCTGCTATGGAAAGGGCGCCGGCGGCTCGGCGGCGAGCCTGGACAGCGGGCCCGCGAGGTCATTCTGCTCCGAAGGGAGGTGCTCGGTGTCAAAACTCCACCCGAAGTGGATGGTCCGCCAACGCAGCTCCCTGGCCACTGCCAGCATCGATCCACGGCCCTTCAAAGAGTGCCGCCTGGAGTGCACCGACGTTGTCGCCATGGAGAGTAAGCCGTTGGTCAATTGCGTAGTGCCCCCAACACAGAAGACACAGGAACAACGTGGAGAACTCCCACAACGTTTGCCAGGCGGGGTCGCCGAGTGAAGCGTCGAACCGGTTCAACAAGTCTGCGTCCCAGGCGACCGACAAGTACTGCAGCGGAGTGCGATTCTGCAGTAACACACCTCCTCCTCCCCACGGCGACGCGTCGAACTCGACGTGGAAAGGGCAAGGTGGAAGGCGAACCTCTCGTGGCCAAGCGTGCACCTCCCGCACGAGAGGTAAAAGCGGACCTTCGCCGGCAAGGGCCTTTCCCGTCAATAGAGTTCGGAAGAAGCCTGCTGCAGCAAAGAAGCGGACCACCGGGAGGGCCGTGGATCCGCAAAGAACCATCTGCTCAGATCTGGGGAGACAGCGCTGGGCATCAGCCAAAGCTGCCCACAATGCAGACGCGAACGGCGTCGTAGCCGGCAAAACTTGTGCCACCCTTGCCGCCTTGCCGACGAAAGATCTGGCGGATGCCAAGCTTACAGAACCACGCCGGCGGCACAGCGGCTTCAGCGCCTCCGCTGTGGTCTGGCAGTACTCCTCGGTGAGAATCATTTCGGCCGCGCCCCCAGGCAGCTGGTAATGGATGCCGATCCAAACGTGGCCCTCCTGGGCGGGCTGGCGCATCCCCTTGCGCCGAGCCACCAAGTGATGAGTAAGTCCGCCTCGCGGGTGCACGCGCCGCGATCGCCGCAGAGCGTGATGGCTGGGTCGTCTACGTTAGAGCTGAAGGCGCAAGTGGCGGGTCAGGCATAATTATGGCCTGCCCCGTGCGAGCCGCGACTGAAGCAATCCGAGAATATACCAATGGGTTGCTTCTCCCACCAAAACCAAGAACCGACCAAACAATGAAAGCATCTCCCTCGGCATCGAAGTTCCGAATGAAAGCGCAATCGTACTTGCGTTCTTGCGCGTTCAGGGGGGCCGCCATGAATGCGTCTTCAAAGTCTAAAATGATGACTTCGACGTGGTCGTCGAACTCGCGCGCCCGGGCCACGTCCACGGCGTGGTCGACGCCCCGCAGTGGCACAGTGCGCTCGTGCGTGACAGAACAACTGTTCACCGCGTTGGCGCGCTTGTCCTGTATGATCCGGTTCTTGCATGTGCCGTCCAGCCGGCGCTTGCGGACATTCCCAAGAGGGGCTGGAAAGACCCTGCCCATGATGCGCTCCGCCTCCTGCCCGGCTTCGAAGCGCTGACCAAAACCCTTGGCGAGGTAATCCTTCACCAAGGCGTAAGTCGGGGGCGCCAACTCACCGTGGAACTCCTCAAAAGATGGGTGATGACCTCGATAGTGGTATGCGTCCGGGAGGTCTGCGGGGTTAAGCTCGCGCTCGTGCTCCACTATCGGGAAATGCCCGCCTGGCGGAATGGGGCACTCGACCCCCACCGGCGCGCCGTCCCGGAGCCAGTCCGCGACGACGCGGTCGCAGTCGTCGAGGCGTTCCAGCACGGCTGCGAAGATGTTGTGCCGGAGCGGGGAACTGGCGTGGTGCTGCTCTGCGCGAGCCCGAGAAAGGTCCAGCGCGCGACCTACCAGCAGGCGGGCGTACGCCACGTCCTCCTCGAAAGGCTGGGGACGACGCGGCGTCGAGCCGCACGCGCCCGCAAGACCCTGCAATCCGCCGCGCGCCGCCCGCGCCGCCAGGAGAGCAAGGCGCACTGGGGCGAGAGAACTCGCCAGTTGGGCACCTGGCGCCTCTACCAGACAAGCGGGGTTACGCAACCCCGCTGTGCACGTTGCGTCTTCGAGTGCTCTCTGCTCCCGAGGTGTGCGCGTGGCCATGGCCCTCGTCCAGTGGGGCGCCACGCGCCGGTGTCTGTCTGGGGCCTGCTGCGGCGGCGGGCGATCACTGGTCACCCGGCCACGGTGCGCCCACACTGCCACGTCGCGAGCCCAGGCCTCGATCACGCCAGGATGGCCCGCAACTGACGTGGCAGCATCCGCGGCGCTCCGCCCAAGGGTAACATGCTGCGCACGGCCGCGCGCATGACGGCACAGCCGAGGCTCCCACCGGCACGTGCGACCTAACGAGGGCGGCACCCGAGGAAAGCATCGGACCCGTACGGGCCGTCTCTCGGCTGCTCCGTACATGCATGGACAGAACACCGTGTCAATGAAGCCGTGGTCTGAAGGCGAGCGCATGCAAGGCATCCGCCATAAATGCGATGACGACGGGCACAGGACCATCACCCATGCGCCCAACTCAGCCGCTGCCCACTCAGCGAGGCTGGCGGCGGCTTCACAAAGGCGATTTGCGTCGATGACCCTGTCGCTCAGTGGCGGGATGCCCGCTGGGAGTGCTGCTGACCTCACCTTGGTGCGGTGGCTTCGATCCCTGGCCGGGGAGAAGGTGGCCCAAGGAGGCTCCAGAACGAGCACCCACTCGCCGCCCTGATCCACCGCGGCTGCCAGCAGCTCCCGGAGGCGTTGCCCCAGGCTCCGGAGGTCGAGACTCAGGCCGCCAGCATCCAGGATAGGGCGCACTGGCGCGCCGAGCGCCTGGACGCCTGCCGCCAGCGACGCGCTTCCAGCGAAAAGCTCCGCCACGACAACTGCATCTCTCCGGCGCGTTTCGACCAGCCGGACTAAACGCGTCCGCATTGCAACCAAGCGCTGAATGTGGTGGCACAGGCGGGCACGCAGCTGCGCACGGCTTGCCCCAGTAGGCGGAGAGGTAGAAGGAGGGGTCGGCGAAGCCAGCAGCAAACCTGGCGAAGCGGACGATGGAGGCATAGCGGGCGACGCCGGGGAAGCCGGCGACCTCGCCGGCGAGATCAAAACTGCCGCGGCCACCCCCTCCTCCTCCTCCTGGCCCCCTGCACGCGGCGACGGCCAGGGAGGGGCCCCGAGGTCGAGGCCCGGTCAAAAGCTGCGCCTGCGGCCGCCACGGCCGCCGCCACGGCCGCCGCCGCCGCGGCCACCGCCACCGCCACCACGAGAGCCGCCAGCCGCCGAGCGCCAACCCTGCGGGCGGCTCTTCGACGGGCAGCTGTCGTCGATGGAGCGGTGCTCGCCCAAGCAGCACTCACAATTGTGAGCGCGCGCCGGCTGGCACTCGAACGGTTCCCTGCAGCCGTTGGCATTGCGGCTGTAGGAGTAGCAGATATCCTGGCCGGACGGCATGCGGATGTAGCGCCCGTCCGGACGCCTGTTGCGTTCTGCCTCCTCCCGGCGGCGGTCATCCCGCCGGGCCCTCCGTGCAGCCCCAGGCGGGCCAGCCCCTGCGGCTCCTCCAGCGCCGCGGGGACTGCGAGAGCGCCCCCGGGCAGCGCCGACCTGGCGCGGCACCTCCTCGCCGCCTTCGAGCGCGGACACCTTGGAGGCGGCGCCCGCGGCCGTCGGGTGCTGCAGGCAGGGCTGGTCCACGTGGGAATACCACCAATTACCATCGCCGCTGCCTTCACCCAGGTAGGTTGCAAGGGTGAGGACCGCCTCCCACGGGCGCTCGGGGAAGAAACGGCCCCCGAAAGTCCCTGCCTGGACTTGGTCCTCCAGCTGCGCACGGAGCAGCTCCCACCACTCCGCGCGGTGACAGTCCTCCATGACCATGATGTGGCCCCAGTGGTTGGGGAACGCACTCGACATAGCTCTGATCCCGTTCTCGTAAGCGTCGAGCGGGCCCGGAAGGGACGCTTCGAGTTTCAGCATCCCCGTCCGGAACACCCTCCACCCCCGGCGCCAATGGTCAAAGGAGGGTGGTCCAGAGAGCCGCCTCGAGACGAGGGCACCGTCCACGAAGACTTGCGCCCTATACCGAAGCAGCCGTTGCAGCCGCTTCCCGAAAGGGCAGAAGATCTTGAGGTCCACATAGGGGACCCGGTCCTCCGCGAGAAGCGCGGCGAGGCCGGACAACTGGTCGTCAGTAGGGTTCTCCGCCTCCTGAGGGGCGCCCCCGTGCATCTCCCGGAACTCCTTGTTGAGCTGCCGGATCGTAGACGCTGGGAGGATGCTGAATTCGCCCATCATCATCATCTTCATCTACATCATCATCATCCTCATCCTCATTCTCATCCTCATCCTCATCATCATCAGAATCATCATCATCATCATCATCATCATCACCATCATCATCATCATCAGCATCAGCATCAGCATCATCATCAGCATCATCATCATCAGCATCATCATCGTCATCATCATAGTAATCGTTATCGTCGTCATCATCGTCATCGTCATCATTATCCCCATTTTGGCTCACCCCTCACACGGTTCGTGGCCCCAAAGGGAGCTCCACCGAAGGCCCCATCCTGTCCTGGATGTGTCTTTCCCAGGAACCCCCAGAAACACACCAGAGTACACGTTTTCACTACCCGATCTCCTAACCCTCGACCCGCCTGTTCACACTTGCTGCTAGTGTGGTGCTTTGCTGGGTAATGTTGTTGTTTTGACGCGACTCTACGGTATCACGATAGGCATGAGCGCGTCACTGCCATCCATGGTCAGGCCGAAGCCGTCAATCTGAGCATGAAAGCGCTGCCCGTGAAGAGCCGCAGGCTCCAGCACCACCATCTCGTAACTTCCCTGCAGGGTGCCGAAGGACGTGGGCAGGGGGCAGCCCGACACGTAGGAGAATGACTCCCCTGGGCGCAGTATTGGCTGCTGCCCGACCACGCCATAGGCCTGTGGGCCGACCTCCTGCTGTCTGCCGCTGGCGTCTGTGATCACCCAATGTCGCGTCAAGAGCTGCACTGTGCGGTCCGACTCGTTTCTTATCGTCACGGTGTAGTTCCATTCCCACTTGCCTTTCTCTGGCGAAGACGCCCCTGGGTCGTACTCGCTCTTCGCGGTAACCTTGACTTCTTCTGTCGAACACTCGCTGCTCGTCGGCCAACGGATGCCTCGCTCCACCGTGTCGGCATTCTGGGGACGTTCGTCCGCGGGACAGACTTGTAGGAGCAGCTGGCGGACACGCCGCGACGCATCGACATGCTGAAAAGGCCTGGTGCGGTCCAACATCAATAATGCTGTATGCCCGTGCGTCAAGCAATCCGCGAACTGAAAAAACCTTTGGGCCAAACAGCCACTGCCGTGCTGCATTCTCCTCTCCAAAAAGCATACTCTGCTCGCGAGATCGTGAGCTCACTGGGCCGCTTTGGGGCACTGGCGTGGCAATGTTCGCCCAGCCCCCTTTGAAAGACACAGTGGCAGTAGAGTTTCGGTTTGGGGAGGAGCGTGTGTTGCGGGCTTTGTGCATGGCTTTACGGGAAAGCAAACATGTTGATAAGTGCATCCCCTTGCGAATCACAAGGGTTACCCCCTGTCGACCCCCCCCTAAGACCCTGCAAGTTCAGTGTTATTTTTGTTGTGAGTGTGTGTGTGTAGGGGGGAGAGGGCAGAGCCTTTTACATAACCAATCCAACACACCGTTTCGGGAGGTGGAGGGCGGAACCTCCAGAACACCGCCTACACCCCCCTGAGTTATCCATTCTGGCGATTTCCCATAAGCTTTAAGAAGCTTTCCCCCAGCGCGAGGGGGGGACCTCCACAACCCCGCAACGAAAACATATCCCCCCCTTGATTTGTCTCCGTTGGGGGTGGGGGGTGCCCAGAACGAGCCCGCCCGCTTTGAGCGTCCGCGCTTCGTGGTCCCAGACGCGGGCGACCGCAATGAATCCTGATCTCCTCTACCGCGCCCCTCCCCACCGCAAAGACTTGAGCGTCCTGCACCCGCACAGCTGCAACCCCAGGCTGCGGACGGCGTCGGCGTCGAGGGCATTCCTGTTGGGCATGTTTGTGCAATCGGCCCGCATCATAAGGGTGCGCGATAAGGATGCAAGGGCCTTGGACGCCCATTTCGAAGCTTTTCGAGCGCGTCACGGCGAACAAAAATGGCCAAGGATGGACCGAGGAGGCAAGGATGCAAGGGTAACCTCGGGAAGGCTGCCCATCCTTACTATGCGGGTTAAGTGTAAATCGAGCATCTCTGAGAAGTGGCGGATCTGGGGGATGTCTCGGGCGCCGCGGCCTTCTCAGAGCCTTCCAGAACGTTCCGAGAGCGTTCCGGAACGCCCTGGAACGGATCTATCCTCGTCCTGGCCCCGTCCGAGGGCGGCAAACTCAACGGACGCCACGAGCGAGGGGGAGGAGGGGAGGGGGAGGGTGGGGGGGGGGAGGGGGAGCAGGAGGGGGGGGAAGGAGGAGGGGGAGAGGAGGAGGAGGAGGAGGAGGAGGAGGAGGAGGAGGAGGAGGAGGAGGAGGAGGAGGCACGGACCTCTGTGCCCCCTGGAGGCCACGAGGGCGACCAGGGGGTCCGCAGGAGGAGGAGGAGGAGGAGGACGAGGAGGAGGTGGATGAGGAGGGAGAGGAGGGGCGGAGGAGGGGAGGGGGAGGGGGAACTTCCTTTCCTTTCCCACCTTAGCGCAACACCCGAGCGACCGCCAGCAGCGAGACGTCCCAACTATGGCCTGGGGCCTCGGCCGGACCGCACGCGGGGCATCCGCGGGGACTGCAGGGCTGCGCGCGCGGGCACGTGGGGGGAGGGAGAGGAGGGAGGGGACGGAGAGGGAGAGGGGGGGGGGGGCGGACAGGGGAGAGAGGGGAGAGGGGGGAGAGGGGGGGGGGGAGGGGAGAGAGAAGGGGGGGGGGGCAAGCTAGGTGCGCTCGCGTCATATCTGACATCCTACCCCTCCCTCCCATCCCTTACCATGGCGCAGATCCCCTCTCTACTCGCTCAGTCGGATGTCGAGCAGGGCAATGATCCTGAAAGGGTACGTGATGCATTGTACAGCACGGCATGGCATGGCGTAGAAGAGCACCGCAAAGCGTAGTATCAACCTAGCATTGCATTGCATGCCGTGGCATGGCACGGGAAATGACGCCAGCGCTGCAGCGGGAGCACGAGTTGAAACGAGCGGAAGCGCGGAAATGAGGCCAGCGCTGCAGCGGGAGCACGATTCGGAACGAGCGGAAGCACGGAAATGAGGCCAGCGCTGCAGCGGGAGCACGATTCGGAACGAGGGCCCGAAAATGAGGCCGTCGCCTCAGCGAGAGCAACATTTTTGAGAAAAATGCAGGCGAAAACCCAACTCTGGGGAAACCTGTGTAAAAAAACAATACGCGGGGGGGGGTCGGACACTTTCAAACCGTCATCAGGGGAAGAGGGAGAGTCGTATTCATATTGAGTAATTGCACAGGGGGAGGGGGACAACCGCAATCTCCCGCGGGGCGTAACTCGAGGCAGGAGGGCGCCCCACGACCTCCAGTAGCTTGGCCGGCGACGGCATGCACACTCCGCCCGACCATAGCGACTGCACCAAACGGAGGAGCACCCGTCGGTCGGAGGACGTGGGCAGAAACGCGAATCCGGAAGATGCTGGAAGTTGGTTGGATCTCCGCCCGCCCCCATGAAGAGGAGGGAAGAAGGAAACCGCTCGATGCTTGACGTAGGAAGGCGCTCAAAGCAGACTCAGCGGTGGACAAACCTCCCTTTGGTAAACCTCCCCTTAGCGAAAACGGCCTAAGACCGAAACCGACGGGCCTGGACCCGCACAAATGGCGGCCGCGACGCCCTCTCGCGAACCGAAAACGGCCAATTCCCTAATCGACGTGTCAGGGTGGGAGGTCTACCAACCTCCGATCGATTGGAGTCCGGGAGTCAGAAAATCTACTTTCAAAGACCGGCGTGCATAGGTCTCAATCAACAACGCCATCCAATGCTAGAATATCTCGAGGTCTCCGGTTCTCGAAACAGGCCAGCCCCCCCCGTCCCTCCGATGTCCTTATGGCGCTCCCGCCCCAGGCACCCCCCCCTCGGCAATGTCCGTCTCCCGTCTCCTGGCCTGCTTGCTTCCACATGCTTCCACGCGCTTCTGCGCGCTTCTGCATGCTTCCTGCCTGCCTCCTCCCACTTCCACCTGCCTCCCCCGCTTCCGCTGGCCTCCTCGCGCTTCCAGGCGGTTCTGCTTGCTTCCGTTCCTGGTTCACTAAACCCAGACACGCTAGAACGGGACATCAAACATACCTCGAAACCAATTGTTCCCGACGGCAGCACGGATAAAAACTGCTCCGCAACACTCCTTGAAAACACCCCGGCGAAAGCCGAGGAAAGCCCGCACACCTCCCCCTGACACGGAAAAAGACCGGAACCCTGCAGTGCAGCACAAGAAACATGCATTGGATGACCAAGTGCAGCACAAAATTAGCCTGGCGAAAAACCCAACCATATGCAGTTGTGAGTACCGCAATTGTGAATATCTTCTTCGGCGCTCCCTATGGGGCCACGAAGCGCTGTACTGGGTGGGTGAAACGCAGGGAGCAAGAGCCGTGTTGGGTGTTGGCGCACGCATGCGTGCGGTGCCACTGGGACCTTCCGTGGAGCTCCCTATAGGGCCACGAAGCGCTGTATTAGGTGCGCGAAACGCAGGGAGCAAAGGCTGTACTGGGTGGTGGCGGACGCATGAGGGCGGTGCCACTGTGACCTTCGGTGAAGTCCCGTATGGGGCCACGGAACGCTGTACTGGGTGGGCGAAACGCAAGGGAGCAAGGGCTGTGTTGGGTGGTGGCGGACGCATGCGGGCGGTGCCACTGGGACCTTCGGTGGAGCTCCCTGTGGGGCCACGAAACGCTGTACTGGGTGGGCGGAACGAAGGGAGCAAGGGCTGTACTGGGTGGTGGCGGACGCATGCGGGCGGTGCCACTGGGACCTTCAGTGGAGCTCCCTATGGGGCCACGAAACGTTGTACCGTGTGGGTGAAACGCAGGGAGCAAAACCTGTGCCGGGTGGTGGCGGACGCACGCGGGCGGTGCCACTGGGACCTTCGGTGGAGCCCCCATATGGGGCCACGAAGCGCTGTACTGGGTGGGTGAAACGCAGGGAGCAAGGGTTGTGGTGGGTGGTGGCGGACGCATGCGGGCGGTGCCACTGGGACCTTCGGTGGAGCCCCCTATGGGGCCACGAAACGCTGTACTTGGTGGGTGAAGCGCAGGGAGCAAGGGCTGTGCTGGGTGGTGGCGGACGCATTCGGGCGGTGCCACTGTGACCTTCGGTGAAGCCTCCTATGGGGCCACGAAGCGCTGTACTGGGTGGTGGGTGAAATGCAGGCAGCAAGGGCCGTGCTGGGTGGTGGCGGACGCATGCGGGCGGTGCCACTGGGACCTTCGGTGGAGCCCCGTAATGGGGCCACGAAGCGCTGTACTGGGTGGGCGAAACGCAGGGAGCAAGGGCTGTGCTGGGTGGTGGTGGACGCATGCGGGCGGTGCCACTAGGGGCTTCGGTGGAGCTCCCTATGGGGCCACGAAACGCTGTGCTGGGTGGGTGAAACGCATGGAAGAGGGAGGAGGGAGGAGGAGGGGGAAAAGGAGGAGAGGAGAAGAGGAACGCATGGACCGTCTCTTCAAAACGAGGACCCAACACCACAGGATGGTTGGGAACAAAAGGACGACCCAAACCTGACTTTCCAGGAAAAGGTGTCGTTTCCCCGACTTGCCAATACTAGAGGAAGAGAAACCGGTATAAACATAAACTTTTGGCGCTCCGCGCGGATTTCTGCGATCTGCGCTGGACCCCCCTCCCTGGCGCGCAGACGGCGCCAGGGGCGGTGCCGGAGGCGCAGGGGGCCCCGGCGCAGATGCCAGAAATCCGCGAAGAGCGCCACGATTTTATGTTTATGCCGTTTTCTTCGAAATATCCCATTCAGCCTTTGTTTAGGGCGGGCATGTCCTCCTACAGGTGGGTTTTGGGCAAACAACCAAACAGATACCTCCAAAGTGTTCAGGCATAGCCAGAACATCGTTCCCTGACTATTCTTGACCATGTTTGAGCATCCCTCCTGTAGAGGGACAGGCCCGCCCTGAATCTTTGTCCTGGCCTCGGGGGGCTGCTTTGGACGCCCGAAATGGGTACCGAAAGAATGGGTACAATGCCCAACAGCAAATGTTGTCCCAAACCAACAGCGGCCGCTGTTGGGCGGGCGGCCTCCTGTCTCGAATGTACACAGGCCGCGGCGGCGTGGACAGCGAATCCTGTTCAGAATGAACAAGAGCTGCTGTTGGGCATCGTACCCATTCTTTCGGTACCCATTTGGGGCGTCCAGAGCTGCCCCGTATGCTTCCGCTCGCTCCCGGACCCGTGGCCCCAGCTGCTCAAGGCGTTGCTTCCGCCCGCCCC